AGGTGATTTAAACGCGCAGGCTGTAATACTGAGCGCGTCCCGAAAGAGTCTAGGTGGGGAGTGGGTGGGCACTTCGCTCTGCCCGCTCAGCGAACGAACAACGGTGCTCAACTGCTTTAGTTCTGGACGGATCATCAGTTGTTCATACTATACTTTTTCGGTTTAAGATGTCCGAAATCCAATTTAAGATGTCATGTTGCCAAGTTTTCACTCTGTACTGTGCAAGGTACTTTCCACATAGCAACATGACATCTTAAATTGGATTTCGGACATCTTAAACCGAAAAGGGTTTAGTACCAACTTTCAACTCAACTCTCGTCGGACCGCTACATTGTGTTCTAGTTCAATGGGAAAGTCAACCCAAATTGATCTCATAGTTGCTGACTACCGTTTGTGTGGTTCAGTGTAAAGTCGCAGATCCTACTGGACCACCTACGTTGAGCCGGACCATGTACCCGTTCTGATGCGCCTCACACTTCGACTCACCGGCCATCGGCAAAATTTACGTTCTCAGTTATCTCATCGTCTACGCGATCCATCTGTCTGCCCAAGTTTTGGTAGGAGTTTGTGAAGTAGGTCAATGTGTTGTGAATGTTATAGTGTTAATAACAGAGATATCGATAGAGAATTAGAGAATTCTGTACCGACATCGCTGTGTTATTAATATTATAATATTTACAATAAAACAACACATGGCGCATCGACTTTACGATACACTCCTAACATCATTTGGTCACGATGTGTTAAAAATAGGTCAATGTGAATTAGATGTTGGGCTCGATAATAATGCCAAACCCTTGCTTATCTTTTGGATCTTTGTCAAAAGTCGCTTATGTGCGATGCAGCTCCAAAGGTCATTTTGTGTTCCGGAGCGATGCAACGCTAAAGGTGTTGTTCATGATCGCAGCATAGCTACGGGACAAATGCATTTCTGATACACAATGAGATGGTGATGACGTTTCTGTCCCATTTAGGTCATACGGGTTCCACTCGCTTTTACAAGACCCGATTTCATTCTGACTTCCTCTATTACGAATTTGAAAGAGACTAATTATATAGGCACAAACGATTCACTAATCTTCATGGCTGTTCAGGATGCTTCATTTGCTGTCTTCCGCTCCCTTTCCTATTGTGCTTGGACACGACAGATCACGCTATGGTCAATTTCGTCAAACCAAATCTGCTAGGAACGGCCAAAGAATTTAACAATCGTTTCGCCAATCCTATCCGAAACGGACAACACTCGAACTCCACACAAGCGGACGTGCAACTTATGAAGAAACGTGCCCACGTGTTGTATAAGACACTGGATGGTTGTGTCCAGGTAAATACTCTCATACAGTAGTGGTGCATTTCATCTTTCACTTTACCTTTGATATTTCCTTCACATGTTCGTTGTGTAAAGTTTAATTCATACGGCGGTACCAGCTGATGCTCATCGATAGTAAACGGAATCAGTTGTCGAAAGTATCCCTCTCGGGTACTGTGCGGTCTTAAGCAATTACACACTCCTGGGACATAACTCTCGATCTCTGAATTTCAATTTGACAATTGTTGGTATACTAATCTATGACCGAGTCATTTTCATATTTCTTCGAGCCCAGTGTTGCGAATTACCACATACATTACCCGTCATTACCGCAGGGATCCTTGGTTGTTCTCCACCTCATGTTCTCATTGTACTCTGGTTTACTTTGCATTTATTTGTAACATTTGCAGTTCTCAATTACTTCCCCGTTCATACGTCACTATATTTCCCCGTTACACCATTCCCAAACTACGTGGTTAACTAAACTAAATGGCCTTTGTTTGGATCGGCAAGTTTCGCCTTTATTCCCATCCCACTTGTATAATAGTTCCCTTTGAGTCCACCTCGTAAAATACCTTTGATCATTTTCTTCTGTCTGTTTTATACTTAGCGAAAGGACTATGTGGCACTGACGGAGTATCTTCCACCCCGTTATGAGTATGTGATCAAATGCCGACTGAGCACGGTGCAGCAAGAACTCTATCGCCATTTTTTACAGTATCGTGAAGAGCGTGGATTGAACGATGCAGATGATGAGTTTGCTCCGATACGCCGTAAGACACTGTTCACAGATCAACAAGTTCTCTACCGAATATGGACACATCCGTTTTTACTATGCAGTCATGAAACTCGTGAAGCGCGAAAGGTAAGCTTATATTGTGTTTCTTTCGCCATCAGTAGCTGCAAATATATTTCTCTTTTAATGGAGAATCAACCTAGCTAGTAGTTATTGTTAGTTTGCTTTCACGTGTTGTAGTTGTAGTAGGACATTGAAATAATTAATCAATTGTGTCAGAGTCAATCAGTTTTGAATAAACAATCAAACTAGCTACCCAAATGTTTTCACTTACGTCCGTATGAAGTCCCTTAATTCAAGTTTACGCTAATCTTTATAATCTGCCAGCGGCTCCTCAGATTGGTTGTAGCGTGGCTTCTTGAGCATAGCTGTTCGACTTAGTAGAGTTTAAATGGTCTGTTGTGGCAATTAGCTAAACCGGCTGAATCATTCATAGATGTCGAGCTCAGCACTCTAGAAGACCACGTCCTCGATGCTTTGTTTGTTGGGGCACAGTTACTCTTCTAATGTTTGAAATGCATAGATAATTTTGGGACAATCAGTTTCTGTACCTTCGAATATGCTTGCGCAACGCTTTTAACATTAATGGTGTGGACAAAATCTCAATTGTCAATTTCTTATTATTCTTTGGTTGTTCTAAAATGTTTGACTGATAAATTCACGAAGCAAAGGCTTGTTCTTCAACTGACCTTACTGGAATTTGCACATTTTAGCAACCTTCTTCATCATGACATGATTTCGCATTGACGTGGCGTGTTCCCGTGCCTTCGCCCTACTCACACAACATACTGTAATGTTTGATCTGGATTGCCCATCCGTTGCTGTTATGCTGAGTGACGGTTTGAGCAATGATGTCGCGTTAAGTCGACACCCATCGAGATAGTGTTATTCATTTTTTGTATCTAGGCTGTATACTGGTTTCTTCATCCGTGCTATATCATGCGGCATAACTGCTGCATATAGATGTATCATTACAGACCTTCGTAGTAGTAGATTGCAGCTTGATCTCTCCATGAGGCCCTCTTAGATTTTGTTGCCGCAGCAGTGATATCGTTTCATACCTCCACATCCGAACACTTCATTGAAAATAAATCATCCATTGTCAGTCGTGATCGAATACTGTGTGACAGATCGTATCCGGTTATCCGTCTTATGCACACGATTCAGACGTTCAAACGCCCCCCCCCACACACACACACACACATCTTCATCTTTGTCAGGACACCTTCATATCGCCACATAAACTGAATAAACTGCCATAGATGAATTGCATTGACCCGGTAATTCTGATTAACCGTTAATACCACAAATCTTCTGGAGAACCAGAAATTTTAATACATAATGTAATTTTCTGCTTTGCTTTTTCATGCGAGTGTGTAACTAACCGTATCTTTTGTGCTGTTCCGTCACAGCTAGGGTGATAGAATGATACCGCCTATACTTCAAGTGTTTATTGTCATCCTGGTTCAATTCAATCCTGTTTCTTTGTACACTGTATCTCGCACCCTCCCCCTCCTCAACAACGGTGGGTATGATACAGGTGTAAATTTTTGCTGCGTTGTGACGACCGACAATGCCTTTCTGTTTCGATACTTGATTTTTTATCTTTATTGTCGTCTTCCACCTTGCATGAACTTCAGATGCTTCTTGAAGATGATGATGAAGATGATTTCATCAATGATGACCCCACATCAGAAAGCTCTTCAGATAACCCAGGTGCCAACGAGTCTTCAAACTCTGCAGAGGAAGATGCAGATGAAGTCATCCCCAGTACATCGTCCGGCTTGACTCGTGCCCAAAGATGCGCCCGTCGCGGTCCTCGAACGCGATCCAGTGTCACAAATGATTTAATTTGTATGGATGGGGACAGCGCCCGTGAAGAAAATAATTCCCAACTTAGTGGTGACGACGACGATCGTGCTTTACCTGCCCGTGACTCGTGGTGGGCCGCTCACTATCGCGAAGAATACGATTGGGATGTGTCTGTCGGTGTCAAACTGGATGTTTTGTTACGAATACTGAAGAAAACGTGTGTTATTGGTGACAAGCTCATTATTTTCACTCAGTCCTTACTATCTTTGGATTTGTTAGAACGATTTCTGAGCGAGCTGCATCGTCAATATTTGGCTTCCCAGGCGAGTTCTTTTTTCAGTTTTTTAGATAATACCAACTCACTAGCATCAGTAAGCTTAGGAGTAGCAAATGCGCTAGAGACGTGGTTCAAAGTTAGATTTAATTTGTGTCCATGTGCATTTAAAAGATGTAGCCACAGTGATTTTGCTGCATGAAGCAAGGGATATTGGTCCGATTCCATCGGTTGGTTTGTCCGTGGTATACTCCAATGACTTTAGAGGAAATCCACATTGGCAGTTAGCTTACTTGCTAACTGAACATCC